CTTACTACAGAATTTATTGATGTGGATTGGCGCTTACAAAAAAGGATTTTGAACTTCTTGTACATGCCATCTCCACACAATGGTGTTGCTTTGACACAAAAAGTTTGTACATTGCTAGCTGAATGGGGAATTGAAAAAAACTATTTTAAATTACTCTAGACAATGCTTCTTTAAATTGTTCATTTGTTGAATTGTTGAAGTCTCAACTCAATTTGAATGATGCTTTATTAAGTGGTGGGGAGTTTTTTCACATTCGTTATTGTGCACATATCTTAAATTTGATAGTGCAAGAGGAGTTAAAAGAGATTGATGAATCTATCATAAAGATTCATGAGAGTGTTAAGTATGTCAAAGGTTCTCAAATAAGGAAATAAAAATTCTTTGAATGTGTCTCTCATGTTTCCTTAGAATGTAAAAGAGGGTTAAGGCAAGATGTTCCTACAAGATGGAATGCAACATATCTTATGCTTGAGTCTGCCATTTATTATCGTCGGGCTTTTTCTCATTTGCAGTTGAGTGATTCAAATCACAAGTTTTGCCCATCTCAAGAGGAGTGGGGTAGGATAGAAAATATTTACAAGTTCTTAACTGTTTTTTCTAATGTTACAAACATCTTTTCTGGATCCAAGTATCCCACATCAAACTTGTATTTTCCATCTGTGTTTTCGGTTCGATTAACATTGCGAGAGGAAATGGATAGTAATGATAAGTTTATGAGCAAGATGGCAACTCAAATGTATTCAAAGTTTGCAAAGTATTGGTCTGTTTATAGCATGATCCTTGCTATTGTTGTGATTTTAGATCCTAGATACAAGCTTGGGTTTGTTATTTTTAGCTGTAACAAAAGCTTAATGGTGATAACAGCATTGAGAGCACACTAGTTCGTGATGCACTGTTTTACCTTTTTTATCAATATTTGTTGAATTCTCCTATGGCTTGTACCACCAAATCCACATCTTCACCAAATGATGGAAGTGAGCACGGGCAAGTTAATGAGGAACACTTAACTAACAAGTGCATTGATGTTATGAAGGTGAATAATACTTTTGTGAGAAATTAAAATCCTTTAATGCCTATTTTATTAATTACATCTATTCACTGATTTTTCCATTGATTGTTCTATTTGTTTAATTGTTTTTCTTAATTACTGTCATATATGAATTTGACTCATTCAAGAGTGATAAATTGCTTGGAAATGCCTAAAAATCAGAGTTGGAATTTTATTTAGATGAACCAAAAATCAATTGGAATGCGAACCTTGATGTGTTTTCCTATTGGAAAGCCAATCAGTTCAGGTATCATGTGCTTGCTCAAATGGCTTGTGATATATTGAGCATTCCAATCACTACAGTAGCTTCTGAGTTTGTGTTTAGTGTTGGTGGTCGGGTTCTTGATCAATATCGTAGTGCACTTAAACAAGAAAATGTGAAGGCTTTGGTATGCACAAGGAATTGGCTTTTTGGTTTGAAAGGTAAATGGCTCTTAATAAACTTCAAATTATATTCTTATTGTAGAAAATAGTGAACTAATAAATTTTTTGTGTATGTTTTTTTTTTTTATAGATACAATGAAGCTTCAAATGGATGACTTGATTGATGATGTGATGAAACTAAATATCAACAATGATGACCCTGATGAAGGCCAATGTTCCACCAGTGTTAGTATGACCGAAAATTAAAATCCAGGGACTCATTGCCTCAAGACTCAGTTTCAGACATTTCTATTAAACAATTTTATTTGTTTTTGTAATAATTAATGACTTATGACTTATCTTTTGTTTTTAATCTCTTTTGGACTAGAGTAATGTTTGCTAGTATTATTTTAATCTCTTTTGTTTTTAATTGTATTTTATTTGTTTGCTAGTATTTTAATCTTTGGCCATATTAAACAGGTTAAGTGTGTAAACATGTTAAACAGGTTATACGGGGAAACATGTTAAACAGGTCATATTTGGTGTGTCTAACACGACCCGTTTATTAAACGGGTTACATGTGTCGTGTCGTGTCACCCATTTAATAAACATGTCGTGTTTGGGTTTAGGATATGTGACACAATTATTAATCGTGTCGTGTTCAGGTTGACATGTTTAGTGTTATACGTCTAGGTCGACACGACATGAATAAGACACGCGAACCCGAATTGCCACCCCTAGTTCTAGTTGGGTTTTGGATTAGGGGTCCACATGATGGATTCCCGAGTTGTAATCTAGATGGTTACTGGTATCAAAGGATTTGGATTATATGAGGATTATTCTTTTGGATTATTTTAATAGAGGATTTATTATTTCATTTTCTTTCAGCTTCTTTATTTATTCTTAATTCTTTTTGTATTCTATGCTTATTTAAATACTTTAATTGTTTGATATTCCCTCGGGTTTGGGCTTGGGCCTGATCAACCCATGTCTTGAAGTCGAGGGGTATCACACAAACTTTCTTGATATAATATTTCCTATCTTACGGCTTTTATTTGCATAATTCTTATGAATACTGAATCCAACTTTACCCCATAAGCATTGCAAAAGTCGTATGCTTCATCCTCAGTGTCAAATTGCATGTTCAATTTTGGTATGAATTCCATCTCAGTGGGATTGACAACTTCAGGTGCTAAGTTTTTGGTAATATTGATTTCGACAACAATTGGAACGTTTGTTCTCACATCATTAGTAGTTAAGTAGTTATCCATTGGGATAACTTAAGTATGAATGCTACAACAAGTGAAAGTGCCATCAGAAGGTTAAAGTCAGTTGCTATAACTTGTGACAACAAACAAAATACTAAATATTTACTGAAAAAATAAAAATGGCCAAAAAATAAGAGTACCGAACAAAAAACAGAGTATCCAAAAAAATATTTAACTACCATGCTTGAAGTCATTTGGGGTAGCTTTGAAAAAAAAATTACAAAGTTTGGTATTATTTGCCATTTGCTCACTCACCACTTTCACCATCTAAATAATGTTTTTACATAGTGTCGACTAACTAATGTCACAAATAAATATAAATCAATTGAATATATTATTATGTTGTTATTTCAAAACTGGCCTGAGGAAATTCATCAATTCTTTCATATCTTACCATTACTTAGTCAATAGATTTAATACAATGAAAGCATAGTATGATATCCTTCAAAGCAATGTAGAATGTGTGAAGGGAACAGAGAGCTTTTGTATTTTAGCAATTGACCGGTATCTCCAATTTTTTGGCCTAACTTTATGTGTGATATTAGTTAGTCAGCATTATGTGAATATTTTATTTTGACAATGAAGGTGGTGTTTTAAGCTACATTTATGTGTGACATTAGTTAGTCAGCACTATGTGACTACCTTATTTTGATGGTAAAGGTGATGAGTGTGCGAATTAATATTAAACTTTGCCACGCTTTTTTTCTAATAAATATCAAATAATAACATGTGAAATGTATAATTGCCGCATACATTTAATACCAATTTTTTTTTATAACATATTGGTATCTAATGAAGCCAACTCAGTTCAAAAAATCAATTATGGAAGATTTCAGATTCATTACAATGCTTAATGAAGATTATAGAACAAAACCCACAAATAACCCCTTCACCATTGTCAATTTTAAATGAAAATATCATAATTTACAATAGCAGATGACAAATGAAAGAATCTTATCAAAATCTATAACGTTAAGTTAAAAACAAAAATTTTACTTTATTTTGAACAATAAATGAACAAAACTATTAAATGCACAATATTAATAACATTTATTAAGCCTTACCAACCATTAAGCGTGCAAAACTATAAATACCAGCTCAGGTCCATTGTTAATTTCTTTCCCGTAGATGAAAAAGAAAATCTTATTGAAGAAATCAACAATTTCTGGAAGGAAGTTATTGCCAATTTTCTAAAGTTATAAATCTCAAATTCGGAAGGAAATAAGATATGTTTCCAATCTAGTAACAAGTACTTTTAACTAAATCTAATGACCATCGAGATTTGATTCAAAGAAGGAATTGAAATGCAAACAAAGACTACAATTTGGGTTTTGATTCGAAAAAGGAAATATAAAAGTAAAAATAGAAAAGGAGGGAGAAATTAGGGTTTTTGAATAAAAAAGGAATTCAAAAGCAATATGCTTTCGATGGAAAAGGAGAGACAAGTTAGGGTTTTGATTAAAGAACTGAAAAAAAAAATAATGAAATAAAACGAAAAGGGAAGGAAATAACTAAAAAAATGAAAAGGGAAGGAGGGAAAGACGAAATGGAAGAAGCGCAAATTTTGTGTTTTCAACTTTTTCAACTTTCCTTTTTTGTTTTTTCTTTTGCAGTGATAAACACAACAGAGGATTTGCGCCCTGAAATTAACTCCTATTTCTGCTAATGTCTACTTTATTATTCGTTGGTAAAAATTTGGAATCAGCAAATTGGCTAGTCATGTCTTGTCTTGCATCAAATAAAAATATTAAACAATTTTATGAGAATTATTTTTAAAAAAAAAAATTAGGAAAAATGATATTAAAAATAACATGGGATGAAGTTATTAGAAATGACTTTTAAAAGTTTAAATATAGTAAATGAAATGACATACAGTAAAAAAACAGAGAACTCAAGTGACTTGACTCCTTTCATATGGGATTTTTGGAATTAAGGGCACAAATTATAGGATTAAGGCAAAAATTATAATGATAATGAGTCTTTTTTGTAGTTTTTTAAAAATTGTTTTTTGTTTACATAAAAAAGAACACAAAGCCAAAAAGAATCAAACAGTAAGTTTGAATTGTTTGCCAGAGGATATTGAAATTTTCTCCATCTAGTGATTTACAAGCCAACCACCATCATCAGTCATGGGAGATGAGGAACTTGTTTTGTTCAGAACCAGACTACGACCAAGATGGCGGCAACAAGATGGCCCAAAATTTCCCACAAGAAACAGCACCATAACCACACAGGCTACACAGCCGATTGGTCTTTTTTTTTTTTTTTTTTTTCAAGATTTTCATTTATTTCTACAATTTTTGTGAATGAGACGACGTCCATGCAAACTAAATGACACTTTTCATAAAGCACCAAGGTTTATGTATTTCAATACATAACTAATATAGAACTGATTGCCGAAGCTTATATGGCCTATCCTCCACTTTCATACCTTCCTTCCGCTCGGTCACTATTTATGTATTTCAAACAACAAACAGTAACTTGCAAAAGAAAAATACCAAAAATAGAAAAAAAAAGTTGAGCCACTTGTAGTTAAAAATTGGGAGCCTCTCTGGAAGAAGCCTATTCTTCACAAAAGGAACTAAGGTTGGAATCAGATAGAAAACTGCTATGACAGATTCGCAATACTGAAGCTATCTCTTCTTTTTCCCACCCTTCCCAGATTTGGATGGTCCAGCACCTGACGAAGATGCAGCAGCAGGCTCCGGTTTTTTGGTCCTCCCAGGGTGTCTAGGTACCAGCTCTGCAACACGGAGCATTAGTTGTTTTCCTGCAAACAATCATTTAGAATCATTGAAGATGACCAATAGGGAGGTTCAACAATTAGAAATGAGCTTAAAAACAAGAAGAAAATAATATTTATCAAAAAAAAAATTACTGATAAGTCCCACTTTTCCCGTTCAATGATTGACAAGTTCTAAAGTCTTGATAAAACAAGGAAGTCCTACTTTCATCATTAGTTTTTGTTCAAAACTCCAAACATAGTTGGACTTTCACATTCTTAAATTTGGGCAACCCACTCTACTTTCATTAAAGAAAACAGACACGTAGAAGAATATTTGTAAAAAGTGAAGCAGAAAAAATAATTCTTCCGTTGAACTGGGAGTATATGTACACACAAACCAATTTATATATATATAAAATAAAAAAACAGAAAATGACAATCTCAACTTAGGATTAGAAGCATGTCAATGGAACCTCACATATGATTATTATATTTTCCATAAATACATATTGGTTAACATATTCAAAACCCAAAATTTCTTATTTCTATTCTTTCTAAGTTTCACAGAATTAGCGATCGAATCTTTGATATATTTAATTAAAAAAAAAAAATTAGAAACCTGAATAGAAAATTTAGGTATGATTTTTGAAATTTTATCACCAAAAAGAAAAATACCATATAAAACAGCCAATAAAGATCAACATTTTTTTAAACTCAAAGACCCATTTGAATAATTATTGTTTGTACTATCAGAAACTACACTAATTATTCAATAATTGAAATTTACAAATAGAAAAATGCATATGGTAACGAAAAATAAAAAAGGGTTGGATATTTAAACCAAAAAGAAAAAGTTAGCCCCAGATGCAGAAATTATGATTGCAGAAGTTTTATTTTTATTGGGGAATGACTTAAATAGAAATTTGAAAGGTTTAGAATCGATGCTGGAAAAGATATCAAAAGTAGAAATTAAATATATATATAATCTTATAAAGAAAAGACTCACTTATCTTTATAAATAAAACGTGTCCGCCACTGGGCCATTAGCCCACCAGCTGGTATAACCTCTCCTCCCTCAAAGGGTAGGTGAGGGGTTCAAGCTCCATACTGGGCATTTGTGCGTGCGTGTGAGTATTTACCTAACCTAAAAAGAAGAGTGGTACTACTCTATGCTTTTCAATAAGGCATCATGCTAACCAAGCAATAAGAATCCACGTGGACAGCTCACCCCATAACCTAGATGTGACAGTGTAAGTGAAGTGCAACCATGAGGCCTAAAACCTATTCTGACATTATACATTGCTAAAAAAAAAAAAAAAGAATAAGAGGAAGAAGATTTTTTGCAGTGTCACATACTTGGAGGTCCATCTTTTGGTGAAAAATTGGAGTACTGAATTGATGGAAATTTTTTTTTTTCAAGGAAAACAAAAAGAAAAGAAAAACTAATTTTATAAAAAGGGAAAACAATGCACAAAAAAAGGGGTTGATTTTGTCCAGTAAGAAAAAAATTAGAATTGAAAGAGAGAGAGAGAGAGAGGCTAAATACAGACAGCCCATTGAAAGAAAGATATAAAATTCCACACTCAGTCGGACCTGAGGTGGCACAAGTCCCCAAGAAGATCCTCCTACTTATATAGCAGCCTTGTTAGCCAATGCTGACTAGCAAGTCTAGAAGATTAGAATCAGTTGCCCCCTTCCACCAGATGAGAGTATTTTCATGGTCTTTTCCAACATTTAAACCTTATATTTCCTTCCACAAGGACGTTGATTGGACTTCTAAATTGGCCTCCTCCACTTTTACAACAACAGGACCAATCTCTGCACTATTGGCAAGATAGACACCAAAAGGTCTTGCAAATGAGGAAGATGACCTGATTGTAGTGATATTACATGATAACCATCTCAGATGCCAGGATTTGAATAAATTATACAAGCAAAACTTAACCAAACCTCCAACAAAGGGTTTATGAATAGGGTACCACATCCATGGGAAAATTAAGAAACACAAATTTTCCCAATTAGAAGATTTTGACCCTAAAGAAAAACCTTGGGACGCTTTAGATACAGAACCTAAAATCATACCACCTATTTCTATTTGTTTGCATTATATCAACAAATTGAAAAAAGAAACGAAAAGAAAAAAGAGCCTCCTGCACTCCTCTTCAACTTATCCTCCCTCTCTCTCACACACATACATGCATGCACACACAAAAAGGGTCAATAGAAACTATACTATAAAATTTGAGGATTGGTATGATAAAAATACAAGATCTTAAACATTTGATGCTGATGAAACAGAAAAAGAAAATGATCATTAATGGAAAAAATATATAACAGTGAAGAGTATCCAAATAAAAATTCAATGAGCAATGAGCTCTTGCGAATGTCCATGGACAAAAGATAATGTCCCATATCTTTAGCAATCAACTATTGCAAATGTAAAAAATTAAGATGGAAAATCGAAGTATGAGCTCGGACTTCTTAAATTATGCAGACAATTCTTTTTCCTTTTCTTTTCTTTTCTTTTCTTTTTTTTTTTTTTTGATTGCTTACAAAAAATCACCTTTTTTTCCCCTGGGGTTGGGGGTGTGAAAGATCTTTGTTCTTTACCTATGCTTCAAAGGTTTGAAGAAATTGTGACCAAACTATTGCAGATTATGCTGTCAAATTGTAAGCTAATAAATTCTTCTCTTTTTTGCTTTTTTGTAAGGATTCATCTATTATAAAATATTTCAGGAAGGGAAAGAATGCTAAGAAAGACATGAAGTAGATTATAAACTGAACAACACTCCAAGAAGAACCTATCATCTCTGCAATCTCCGCCTGCTACCTCCTGCACCTCTCCGAATCCTCAATACCTATCATCTCTGCAATCTTCGCCGCTGAAACATTGCAATAGTGATAAAGCTCGGGCCCGGATGGATTTTCCAAGTGATTCCTTCTTCATCATTGGGAGTTGGTTAGGGAAGACGTGGACACTTTCAATCTCAGGCTGTTTCGAAAAAAGTTTGAATGCATCATTTATTGTACTAATCTCCACGAGGGGGGTGGTGTTGGGTCTACATATTCTGGATTCGGCTCTTATTGCCAGTTGTGTGGATGCCAAATTGAGGAGTGGGATTCCAGGGGTTATGTGCAAGCTTGATATCAACAAGGCCTAGGAGTCAACAACCCTGAAGTTTCTTGCTTTATATGTTTGGATAGGACGGGGTTCAGGGAGACTTGGAGGAAATGGATTGATGTATTTCCTTGGCGAGGTTCTCAGTGCTCGTGAACAGTGCTCTGACTGGCTTCTTGAGTTCGTGTGGCTTGAGACAGGGTGACCCGCTCCCCCTTTTGTTAATCATTGCATATGCTGGATTTGGCCCTTATTTCAGGTGAGCGTGTGGTTGCCAAATTGAGGAGTGGGATTCCAGGGGTTATGTGCAAGCTTGATATCAACAAGGCCTATGAGTCTACAACCATGTGAGCTAAAGTTTCTTGCTTTATATGTTGGAAAGGATGGGGTTCGGAGAGACTTGGAGGAAATGGATTGAATTTTGTTTCCTTGGCGAGGTTCTCAGTGCTCACGAACGGTGCTCTGACTGGCTTCTTGAGTTCGCGTGGCTTGAGGCAGGGAGACCCACTTTCCCCCTTTTTGTTCATCGTTGTTATGGAGGCTCTCAGTAGATTGATGAGGAGGGCAGTGGATTTGGGTTTTGTTAGAGGTTTCAGGGAGAGTAGTGACCCATCCAATCAGCTGGAGATATTCCACTTGCTGTTTGCTTGTTGATGATACCTTAGTTCTTTGTGATGCAGATGAGGGTCATACGAGGTATTTGCATTGTGTCCTAGTATGCTTCCAGGTTGTCTCAGACCTGAAAGTCAATATCGGTAAGAGTGTGTTGGTTCTGGTAGGAGAGGTTGCAGATATCTCCCTTTTGGCAGACACTCTAGGGTGCGGTATTGATCACTTCCCATTTAGTAGTTGGGGTTGCCTTTAGGGACATCTTTGAGGACAGTAGGTAGTTGGGACCAATTGTTGAGGGGGTCAAGAGGAGGCCGGCGGGGTGGAAGAAGCAATATCTCTCGAAGGGTGGGAAGATTACCCTTTTGAAGAGTACATTATCGAGCCTCCCTACGTATTTTCTCTCCCTTTTCCGAATTCCTTCCTCGCTATGAGGATAGAGAGGCTTCAGCAGAATTTTCTTTGGGGTGGCTTGGGAGAGAAGGTCAAATACCATCCTGTCGGCTGGGAGCATGTTTGTAGGCTGATTCCGTTAGGCGGTTTGGGGATCAAGAGATTGGAGCCTTTTAATGAGGCTCTTTTGGGCAAGTGGTTTTGGAGATTCAATGTAGAGACGGATGGGCTACGGAGGAGAGTCATTGCTTAGAGAGAGATTCTGGGAGATGAGGGCCGGGTGGTGCTCTCTTGAGGTGAGGATTCCAGGTGAGGTGGGTGTTTGGAAATCCATCAGGAAGTTGTGGGATGAATTATTTAAACACATCATATTCAAGGTCTGAGGGGGCACATTAATCAGTTTTTGGAAGGACTGTTGGTGTAGGGGTCGTGCACTGGCAAGCACTTTCCCCATGCTCTTCAGGATTGCTATGGATAGGATGCTCTGGTTGCTGACTACTATGGCCGTGATGGTGGGGGCATGGATCCCTTCTTGTCAGGGGAGGTTTGCTGTTCGCTCCTTCTCTGTGAAGCTTTTTGATGATTCGGGGGGAGCTTTCCTTTGGAGTCTGGAAGGCAGTGTGGCACACCAAGGCCCCCTTAAAGGTGTCTTTATTTTGTTGGACGGCAGTTATGGGGAAGATTCTGACCTGCGACAATTTGAGGAGGAGACAGATTCTTGTAACTGGTGTTGTATGTGCTAGAGAGATGCAGAACGGTTGATCAATTTTGTTGCATAGCCCAGTTGCTAGGGAAAGTTGGGGTTTGATTTTGTCTTTGTTCGGGGTCCACTGGGTTATGCCTCGGACTTTGATCAGTTTGATTGAGGCTTAGAGCGGTTGTATAGTGGGTTTCCAAGACGGTGACTTTTGGAGGGTGGAACTCGTGTCTTTGGTGGGGCTTATGGAGAGAACGCAATAGGAGATCCTTTGACGGTGAGGAGACTCCTATTGGGGTGCTGAAATTTTCTATTCCTAGCTCTCTTTTTTGTTGGGTTGCCTAGAGGAATGGCAAATCATTGGGGGAGTTAGTTGATTTTTTGGACATATTGAGATATTAGGGGCCCTATTTGGCTCTTCTTTTGTTTCATAGGCCGCATTCCCCGTTTGAACACATTCTATTACAAATATTACATATCAGAAAAGAAAAAAAGTAGTCCATCTCTCAATTTTTAAGAAAGAAATTGATGTTATTGACTACTTTACCACAATGCATATGTCAAACTATGACAGTGGAAAAGCATAAAATTTCAATCTACATATGGCAATGTAACTCGATGGGGCCTTTCCTAACGAAAAGATGATTGATAATGCCGATAACAAAAAAAAAGAATTTGCAAGTTATAGAAAACAGCGAGTGCCATAAAAAAATTCCCTACTACACATGGATAGGATTGACAAGAAAGATTTAAATATACTGCAGCAAGCTGCTTTATGGAATGGCAAAACAAGCAAGCAAGAACAGTATTGCTTTCACAAATCGGTGAAGAATCTTCTCTCTATATTGTAACAATGTAATTTAAGTATGCTGAAACAAAATGCATATTTATAACAAGAAGAAAAAAAATAACAAAGAAGAAGAAGGGAAGAACTCTAGGTTCATGTTGGCAATTGATTTGGGAAAATTCTCGATTAAGAGGAAAGCAGCAAACATACCAATGGGCCATTAGCCCAATGGTATAACCTCTCCTCCCTCAAAGGGGAGGTGAAAGTTTGAGTCCCGTAGTGGCCAAATTGTGAAATGTGTGTGTGAGTACTTAGCTAACCAAAAAAGAAGAAAGCAGGAAATATGTTAGTAAAAGCAAAAATAACTTTAAAGATGACACTCACTAGAAGAAATTGTTGGATTGTAAAAACTCCCATCCTCCTTTTTCAGCAATACTCTCACTCTTCCTCTTTGCATGAAATCACGTGGATATGCCTTATCAATCTTCAACAGCAAAACACGTCACATAACACTTGCAAAGAATTCATTCATAATCATCCCTCCACTGAACTTGATAGCATTTAAGCTAAGAATACTTAAAATATGAACATCAGAATCAGTAATATTTCACAAAAATATTCGCAAAATTTATGACAACAAACCTCAATTGCAGATGGGAGTTTGAGATGGTTGCAGCAATCACTAATCTCAGTACAAGTAGGATTTTCACAAGCTTTGCTTGTGCTTATTCGCCTTCCCTCAGCTATCGTTTTCTTTGAATTTATGTAAATTGGATATAATACAATCCACTTCTTGATATTGGGGACTTCCCCATCCATCTCTCCTATCAATACTATAAGGTTACATTATATTAGCAAGACAAGCCTTCAATATTGCATGTTTAAAGAAACCCAACCAGAGAAAAGGTGACAATTATAGAAATGAATAGCAATGTCAAAGAATCCTACAATAATGAACAAGTAAATGATCCTCCTATAAGAAATACAAGAACAAAATAAAATATATGATCATTGAATAAATGCCTAATAAGTCATGATTCCTAAACAATCTAAAAGTTAAATAAATTGGACTGAATTGAAACTTAAATCTAATATACAAAGATAAAGGGACATATCTAATGATGAAAATGTAAATGCATTGCATTTTTAACTATTGGAGAAGGGGAAAAGTTGAATAGAATTAGGAATAATTGTAAATTAGGGCTACTTATTTATTGTTATAATTAATAATGTTTATTTTAGGATTATTTTCGTATTTTCTTATTTTAGGGTTCCTAGGGTTTGGTTCGACCATGAGTGTTACATAATTCTGCTCGGGTCTGCTTCTCCCCCCTCATTCTTGCCTTTTCTCAACACTTCAGTCCATACAACTTATCTTTTCAATCTGTCTTCTCATCTCCTTCTTCTAGCCTCAACTCTTCTTTTGTCTTCCCGTCCCTTGCTTTCTTTCTGCTCCTACATCAACTTGGTATCAGAGCACCCTTACCCATCATGCACTATGAATGCTAAAGTCTCTTTAATCTTGTGAGAAGATTACCACTTACCAGATGTTTGAGACACTTGAAATTTTAGCCTAATAAATATGATGTAAAAGATAGAAGAATAATTCCTATTTGAAAAACAAACAAGCAAACAAACAAAAGAGAGAAAAATCAAGAGAAAAATATAATAGTTTAGGCCCTTTCGGCTGCTCTCATGTAGGACTGCAAATCAATCAAGTTGTTTATGATCCTCTCGGGATCAGCTCATTTAAAGCTCAGCTGAAGCTCATTCATTAATTAAACGAGCCAAGCTCGAGCTCAAGTTTGAGCTTGTTTAGTAACCAAGTGATCCTGAACATTGTTAGGCAAGGCACATGTAGTATCATATGTATTCATGAATATAAGCTAATTAACAGGTACATAGGCTTGTATAGGTTAATGAACATAAGTTTATGAACATAGACTTGTGTAGGTTAATGTTGGGTCTTTCTTTCTTGGTATAAAGGTTAATGAATGGTTGCGCCTGGTAACATAGACTGATTGCTGAGTCTACTTTGGCTCAACTGCATCATATCAGGGTGCAAGCAACCCGAAAAGCAAGCTATTACATCAAGCGGCTATAGGTCAAGTCTTATCTTCATAGTCTTTTTGTTCACAGGGCGATATGTGAATGGTTTCTTAACCCTACTATACATAGGATAAATTTTGAATCACCAAATTACTTGCATGCTTGACTTTTTTTTTTTTTTATAAGTAAAAGTGTATTAACAAACGCGCTCAGAGGGGAGCGAACCCTTAACAAAGCAAACAAGAAACATAAAATGCAGCATTACAACGATAAGTTGTCAACAAAATCCAACAAACTATCTACAAATGGGCAATTCTTCCCATTAACCCAAGAATAAAAAGAATACAAAATATTCGCCTTGATAACCCACACTGGCGACTCCTGTCCTTCGAAAGATCTCCTATTCCTCTCGTGCCACAACCCCCACCAAATACAAAGAGGTGCAACCCTCCACGCCTTCCTGACCCGACTATCCAGCAGTCTCCCTCTCCAAGCTTCTAACATATCCATCGTATTACTTGACACTACCCATTCCACCCCAAATACATTCAGGACTCTATACAATTGGTCACATATCTTTTGAGAGTAGATCTTTATTTTTTTTCCCCAGATTCTTTAACTCTATTGAAGTAACAAATTATGATTGGGGTTGTGTGTGTGTGTGTGTGTTTGTCACCTGGGAGGGTGGTGTTGTCCATGACCCAATTAGCTTTTGAGAAGGGAATGAAGCATTATTTTTTGAAACAGTGGTTATATTAGGACTGTGAGAACTTGAAAATAGGGGCTACGGTTGCTTAGGTGCTTTCTCCTAATTTTGTTTTCATTAAATAAATAGGTAAGCAACAAAATTTTCCTATGTCCATAAATAAAAGTGTCAGACCATGATTTTAAGGATATAGTGTCATTTTTTTTTTTTTTTTTGATAAGTAATATTAATTCACAAAAAGCGTTCAACAGGGGAGCACATCCTAAATACAACTACACAAAGACCAAAAGGACCCTCATTCCTTCAAACAGTCAAACTATCCGTAGAATCAACAAAATCTACCCAAAAAGCAAATCCTAAATACAACTACACATCGACCAAAAGGGCCCCTATACCTTCAAACTATCCACAGAATCAACAAAATCCCCGCAAAATTTTCAATTATAACCATGAACCCCAAAAAATAAAGATATAAAGAATATAGAACTTAAGCAGTTAAGTGTCCAAATAGAAGCCACCACTCCATTGAAGCACCTCCTGTTCCACTCCATCGAGCCTCCATCTGGTGTCAATTTTTAATGCACCTTATATCACATAACCTGTATAGTCCTTGATTTACATATAAATAATTTATTCAATTTTAGATCGCCTATTCCCTTCAAGTGAATGCCCTATGCAATGTCTACCAATATTTTGTACAGATACGTCTTTTTGAAAGTGCAAAGTTCATGCGATCGCATTTTTAATTGGTTTAATATCACAATAAGACTAGAATAGTCCGAGTTAAAGTAGTAACGTCCCTAAGCTGAGGAATCCCAATATGCCAATAAATAAACTGTTCACTACATCATTCGACTCACTCCTACAACAAACCCACCCTGGTGCTGCTCCCCCTCCACCACCAAAACCAAACACACACGAATACTAGAGGGTGTCCAAGGTCATAAATATGACCAGATTTTTCTTTGTAAGAATTTTAATGTATACAAGACTGACTGATCTGGAAGGGCAATTAGTAAAAAATTAAAAGACACCAACTGGGATTTACATAGCTTTGGATAATAGCCACCCAATATCTTGAATGGAGCCATTGAAAGAAAATGAGACCCACTTAAAAAATAAATAAATAAATAAAAAGAAAGAAAGAAAATGAGAGCCATCTAACAAATGGTGACAGAACTTTAAAAGAAGCTCATTTCAATGAAACCTAATTGATCCACCACGAACATCCATTGATAGTATTTGATTAAGCCGCGATATCTTGAATGTCTCAGTGGGAGTCATTAGGAGCATTTCACAATAGGCGTTGACAATTTTAGGATCCATACGATTGAAAGATTTAAAATGAATAGATTTAAGTTCAGAATAGCTTAAATGTTGATTTCATAATTTCATTTTTAAGTTCTAAACAATATATACAGATTGATTTGAGTACCCTTTAAAAGGAAAATAGCAATTGATTTGAGAGTTCAAGAAATTAGACTTTCGAATTATTCAATTTCTGCCAAAAAAATCATAACATTCAATTGATTCTTCTCTTTGTATCAATTTAAATCTAAGGTCATTATGATGCACATACAACAAATTATCATTACCTTTACCGCATTTTAGCTCAACAATAAGATCAAGGGTTCAAAAGGTCTCTTTTCACGATTGAACCACAAAATTTCAAGGATCTAGCAGAAAAAGATGACTTTTCTATAAACTCTAAAATAGAACCAACAAATATCAACACAGAATCCGAACTAGAACAAAATCAGATGAACGCGAAGCATTGAACATCTTACCCATGGAAATCCTAAACTGTGCAGATCGTCTGAAGTAACTTTGCAACTTCGTTGTTGTTCGACGATCGCAGTGTTGTTGTTCGACCTTGCCTCTCTCGTTCGTCCTCGCTTTCGACTATGGAAGTGTTTGGCTACAATGTTACTTATCAAAAAAAAAAAAAAAAGTGTTACCTTCCGGAAAAAAATAAAAATAAAAATAAAAATAAAAATAGTGTTTGGCTACAATGTTAGACCACTCCTGGTCGTTGCAGCATTTAAGTTCACAAGAGGAATGCTATAATAAAAGTGCTTTTGCCGGCTAGCTTTTCTACTTTCTTATTTTTTATTTTATTATTTTGAGATAAAATAAAAAGTAAAATGGTATTTAATAAGAAGATTTTATTTTTAATATTTTTATTTTTCAAGCAACCCTTCGGGATGCTCGATGTCTTAAATTTCACCCTTCTTTAATGGGGGCATTGAAAATCAGTCTATGTCATAATATTTTTATTTTTAATAGCAAGTTTAATTTTAATTTTTCTTTCTTATTATCTTTCTCTCTCTAATTTATTTTTATTTTTTATTTTTTTTTATCTAGGTTTAATTGTGATGAGTACAGAGTGTGTGTGTGTATAAAAGAGAAGGAGTGAGTGTTGTATGCAACTAACAGATTTTAGCGTAAATTATAGCTTCAGAAAAAAAAATAATAATAAATAAAAAATAAAATAAAATAAAATGTCATTGAGAAGGATGAGCAGTCACGAAACTGGGTCTCTCAACGCTGGACTAAACTTGGTCTACTCTGGCGAGCCATTAGTCGACCCATTTTCGGTGTGTACCAACCAACCCAGAAGCAAGGTGTAAAATTATGATTTTACTTTTACTAGTGACCAAACTCTTCTCTTGAATGACTGGCCTCAGCTCCTCCAATATTCAATTGGGTCTGGAGACCTCAAGCTTGGTGAGACCATTCATGGGTTTCTAGTATATCGTGTGTAAAAAATGAGTAACCCAGTGAACCATCTCTATCTTTAGATGTCGGATCGTGGACCTCAGCCTAGTCAATCTCTCTTTATATACTATTTGTTGATGCCAGAATCCATGGAAACCACAAACTCGAATGGGTCTCCCTCTCTGATGCCGGAATCCACCGACAAACTGACTGGGAATAGAACTTTGGAGTATGAATTGCTTGTGAATGCGAATTTAAGTCTCCCTCTCTGATGCCCAATTGCCGAATTCCTTGCACGCATCGTCACAATCTCGTCGCCGTTGTTGAGATATTAGGTTAATAGTCAACGATTCTTGTAAATATTATTCTTGCAATTCTTTCCTATTTTAGAGATAATATAGCTCTACGTTAGGTGTGGACAGATTCTTTAGAGATGTAACTTGATTGTAGGACCTATACTAATGATCTGATTACTATATATGTACTTATATAGATTATTGAATCGTGAATAAGAAAATATTCTTCAAAAAGTTTGATTTTCAAGTTGGTATCAGAGCTACTTGAATCATCACCATCCTTTCATTGAACCTATGTTGCCTTCTGTAATATCCCTAAATTTAAAAAGGACATAATTGAAATTTTATTTTTTATTTTATTATTCGTAGGTGTTTTCGTGACTTTTGTTATGTGACTTCCTGTTTTGTTATTTAAATGAATTAACTATTTAATTATAAGTGTGTGTGCTTAAGTGGTTTTTGGTTAATTGTCTAAATGTTTAATTGGTAAATTGAATTCTTTGCTTTGATTATGTTACGTGATTAAGTGGCATTTGAATATTAAATTAAATGTATTGTTTTTATTTTATTTTATTTTTAATCGAACTTGGGCTTGGATATGATTAACGGACTATTTGGATAGTGTAAATAGATACCGTTTTACCCATGGAAGTATATACATGTATATATATGGGTATATATGTATATAGAGTTAGTTTTAATTATTGGTATTTATTAATAATTAAACTTGAGGTATTAATCATAATTTAATATAAGTTATAATTTTAGGGTTACATATATTCTTACGTTTTTAGCCGACTTACATTATATCTTTTATGGTTATTTTTTTCTTTCTCGGATTAAAATTAGAATTAGGGTTTTAGTTTTTCTAAACCTATAAATATATCATTATGTTGACTTAGGGTTTTAAAAAAATGTGTAAACCCTTTTCACATACCAGAGAGATAGAGAGGAACAGAGCGTAAATTGTGAGACAATAACAAAGCATCTTTGGTGAGGGTTTCAACTGCGGATTAAGGATTGGTCATAGGAGAAGGGAAGGTTGAGCAGTAGGAGGCTTGACGACAGTCATGATCACCGAAAAAACCTAGGAAGACGGCGACAAGGTTTTGATTCCAAAACCGCAAAGGCAAGTTATGTTCTTCCTCTCTCCTGTTGGCCTGTATTCTATGCATACCTAGGTGTCTCTAGGATTTTAATTGAATATTAGTCAGATCTAGCATGCGTATTATATGTCAAATTGATTATCTGTATGTGTATATATTTGTCTGAAACAATTCTTGATTGACTTGTGTTCGTCGTATGTTTTAAGCTTATAGATTTGCACTGTTTTAATGGTTGATTTAACTCGTACTGCTATAAACAAGGGTTTAGGATGTTATTGAATATATATAAGATGGTTAAGATCGGTTTTGATTATCTGTATACGTGTTAATATAATCTGTAAGTATGCTTGCAAATTGAAGTTCAAGTTTTGTGGTAACGCGTAATGAATCGATAGGGGTTTTCAGTCACAGTAATAAATTTCAACTGCCAAAAAAAATCATTAGGATGCTACTAGATATATATTAGACTGCTAAGATCATTTTTAAGGAAGAACAGAGGGATTGGAAGTGGTCGGAGTCGAAGCAGAAGGTCGGAAACAAGGCTGGAATGGACTGGAGGCTCACAGAAAGGGAGAGAGCCGGCTCTGGGAAGCCAAGAGCCGGCTCCAAGATGGTATGGAGCCGGCTCCATGCATATAAGAGCTTGCTCTAAGTTTCAAGAGCAGGCTCTCTCCTATTTTAACGTATTTTCTGATTTTCTGGGCACCGTTTGGATGATTTTAATTCTTTCGAATTGTGTTGTGAGGGCACTTGGGGTTCTTAATTTAAACTTCAAGTGTATTTAAACCTCTTATTGCATAGTTTATACATTTACGCTAAAGTGTCAAACAGTAGGAAAGTAGACAACTTTTCAGTACTGTTAACGGTTGGAGGAAAGTTAAATTGCGTAGTTTAATTCAGTGATTGAACTGATTATAAAACCGGTCATGGGGATGATTTTGGGTGTAAATAGGATTCTTAAACTCAGTATTAAAGATGAACCGAAGGTTGGGAATAGCCGGAGACGAAGCTGAAAGGCGAAACGGAGCAAAACTGGACAGAGGAGGCTCTAAGCCTTTAAGAGCAGGCTCTAAGTTTCAAGAACAGGCTCTAAGTTTTTATGGAGCAGGCTCTAAGTTTCTAGAGCAGGCTCTAAGTTTTTATAGAGCAGGCTCCATGTTGTAAAGAGCCTCCTCTATGATTTTTAGGAGAAGGCTCTTTGGTTAGGTTACGTTTGGTTGCAATCTGGAGCTATCCGGGAACTGTTTGGGCTATGTTTGGAGTTCTAAATTGTTTCAGGGAGTGAACTAACAATTTTAAAAGTAATTTCAAGAGATTTTAAGCTCTCTAATTACATAAGTTAGCCTATTATATGAAGGGAATGATCAGTGTGAAATTTTGACAATTCACATACTGTTAACGATTGGAAGGGAAGTAGTTGTTCAATTTTTAAATTGGCGACTTAAGTAATTATAACATGATGTTAATCTTGTTTTAAATGCACGTTAGGGTCATTTACTTAATAAATTTGATATGTGCACACTCGGGAATATAATTGCTGAATTAATAAATCTGTTCTGCAATTACGTAGATTAAGAAAAAGGAAATTACTTGCTTGTTCTAATATGGCAATTTAATGAATTATAACATGTTTCTAATTTTTGTTTTAGATGCACAGTAGAGTTTTTTAATTAACAGATTGGACCTGTGCATGCTTTGGATTTTTATATTGTTGAAACATTAATTTTCCTGCAATTACATGAGTAAAAGGTTTGCTTTAAATTGTTAAATTATTAGATACACTTTTCTGCAATTAATTGGATGATTGTTTTCAACTGGACGATGGTTTTGGACTTAAATTGCTAAACTAAAACATAGGTTTTGTAATTTACATGGGAGTTAACCTGGACTTAATTGAAGAATTAATTGCATATTTTTTGTCAATTATATGAATGGTTTCTGGATTTTAAGTTGACGAACGATTAAGTTTTGTCTTGTCAATTTCATGGATATTTAGTTGATAAACTGTTCCAATTTTGTTTTATCAGCTACATGGATTTATGTGGATTGTATTTGGTGTACTGATTGAGTTAATGCATCATTTACGGATCATATGAATGGTATATACCGGTATGGGACGGTGACATATGGAGGTGTTAGCCTAAGGATTTTTATCTAAAGGTCAAGCTTATTTTTGATGATTACAAACCATTAATGATGTTTATGTACTAATATTTTCATTGAGTTATATATAGTTCATATCTTATATAATGAGCTAGATGAGCCATTTCAAGCATTCAAGTACTCAAGCTATGGACTCAATGAAGCCTCAAAGATTGCAAGATATCAAAGAAAGACTCAAACTTCAAAGATCAATCAAACAATTTCAAGGAAGAAAGCAAGTCTTCATCAAGCTCAAAAGATCATGGTCAGGGAATGGAGAAAAGGGTAGATAGGATGGTGAGAGCTTTAGATTTAAATGTTAAAGCATATTTGAATATCTTCTAAAGCTCAAGTTTTTAGGTTCATGCATATGTTCTCTAAAAATCAGTTTTTAGAAGGCCTAAAATCTTTCCATGAACTTTACTTATGCATGCTCTCATAATAGGAAGTGCACAGAACAAGATGTGTTTCATTCTTAGTCTTACACAAGGATTGGAGCCGCCTCCCAAATGTAGGAGCCTGCTCTTTGCACTCCAGTAGCCAAATTGTGTGTCATAGAATGCATTTTGTGAATTGGAGCCGCCTCCCATTTATTGGAGCCTTCTCCAATTTTTTGTAGAGCCGGCTCTTCTAAGTTATTTGAATCTACAACGGCACTTTTCTACATTTAAGTCTTCCAACTACTTCTAACAGACATATTAAGCTACGGTTATCTATATAAGGAAGGCTCATTTGCTGAAGTAGATACACCACTGAATAATACATTCAAGAGAGCATTCAAGAGCATTCAATAAGCCATT